TATGGTGTGATGTTGCCTCGATTTGTGATTCGGTAAAACAACATCAATCATGCCACCGATATCTAATGCCAATGGTGCCAATAATATCACTAAATTTTAATGTCATTCATACATCCAATACTTATAATACGGCGTAACACATAATTATAAACAAATAGAACCAAAATATTTCGATCAGTGGTACATTTTTCGTCTCAATTTAGTATAATGTATATTATTTAAGGACATGGATTTTATTCATACCCCCCCCCCCCAATATTATCTTCGCCCTACGGAGATGTACATACAATGCAGTAGAAGGTAGAACACTGTCAGTCTAAACATTTGGGAAATTATTGCTTAGTTTACATGGAGAATAATAGGTGTAAAGCCAACTCTCTCGGCAGCTAACATTGTATTTCGACCACATTTTTCTCCATTATACAACGATCACGCGTTGTGTGTGTTGTAAAACCGTTTGTTATTGTGATTAACAATTGTATGAGGTAGCCAATAATTAACGTATCGAAATGGTTAAATAAAATAGCTCAATGTATATTAAACAACTCGGGACTCACCTGTATACCCTAGTAGATCACTGTCCACTTTAGATATTGGCGCATTCTATCGATATGGGGATATTTTCGTCTAAATTTAACAGGAGAATTATGATGGTACTTTATCTGCATTTTAAATTTGCATTTTTTATTTAGTTATTAGTTATTTATTGTTTTGTCTCATATTCTATCACATTTTCTTCTATTCTATTCTGTGTTATTGTATTCTATTCAATTATATTCTATTAAAGTTATTCCACCAGATAATAAATACAATATATATTATTATGTCATTATGGTAGTTAAAATGGTCATTAACATAAGGTCAAAATGGTTTGCACATTAGTCTATTTTTTGATCGAAGTGGCAAGGCTGGTACAAACTAATTCCGATTTACTTTAATATAAAAGTCCTGAGGATATCACTAACCAAAATTAACAAATAGACTCTTCATGAGAACGTTGCATAATGACGTCACCAATATGGCCGTTTGATATATACGTTTCAGCTATATGTATAATATTCATAATATTTGTCATGAACCATAAATGTTGAGTATCAAAAAGGATGTATTAATTTACTTGATATAAATACATAGTACAGTTTACATATTCACTCGTTACCAAGGTTACAGTTTGCTATTTAATTTTGAAAATGGCAACTCAACTAGGCTGTTTTGTAATTAATATTTACCTTAATTAAAAAACTGTGTGAATGGTTATCTTAATACGATATACATATTCTATGTTATATTATTATTATTAATTGGTGAATTTTATTTCACATATAGGTAAATATAACTATATTATTTATTCAATTTGAATACCACTACCTCCTTATACATACATCAACAACTGTGCTATTCAATAATGACAATTTTTCACATCATCATTAGATAAATATGGATGAGACTAAACAAAAACAAGCTACACTCCCAGCTGAATTCCGTGTATTATTTGCAAGAGGGAATATTAACCGATATTAAAAAAAAATATTAAAATAGCAAAAAAGGTCCACAGTCTTTTTGGGGGTATCCATGGCGCGCCAAGTGCTGCAAAATTTCTAAAAAGAAAAAAAAAAGCAAAATTATAAAATATTTAAAAAAATTTAAATGAGAAAAAGACGGAAATGTAAATAAAAAAAATAAAATATAAAAACGGGGGGAAATTGAACGTTATGTTTTAATTTGAAAATGTATTAGACTCTCTTCCCAAGCAAACACCATGAGCAGACATTGGGAAGATTTTCTCCGCGACGTCAGTCAAATATTTCATGATCACCAGAATACACGATGTAACGATGACAGAATAGCCAGGCATATGACAACTCGTATAAGTTCCATATTGAGATACACGGCCAATTTGAGGAGTGCGATTCATAGACACCACGAGCATCAAAGTCGTGTTGACGGCGAGAATGACTTCCAGCGACTTGTTGACTCTCTTTCGTCTCTACAATCAGGATTAATCGCAATCCTTGAAGAGTGGACTGACATCGGGACAGCATCCCGTGGCCGTTCAGACAGGCCATCTCAATCATCTGAGGGGTTGACATTCGGACCATGTAAGACAGTTAACACAGACGAACCGGGTCGCCCACAATACGAAATTAATGACGTGACCCTGACGTGACAAGTGTTAGTCGAATGTGGATTTCGGATGAAGGATATTTCACGATGGACAGTGTGGGGGGGACTAAAACATTAAGGGTTCAATCGAAGTGCGTTTTTCACACAACTTAGCAATGACGAATTAGATGATATAATATTGAATTAAATAAAACAAATTTTGCTGATTGTAGTGAAAGAATGGTTTGTGGAATAATGAACACGATGGGGGTCACAGTACAGAGGAAACGATTGCGTGACAGTTTGAAACGAGTTGAACCAATGCAGCGAGCTCTACGATGGCCACTACTTCGGTCAAAAAGCAAGAAGCATGGCGCGTGCAACGTGCATGCTGCTCAAGGTCTTTGGCATATGGGCGAGTGAACACATTTATATATGATAAGAAATTGTGTAACAATTATAAATGAAAATAATGATATCTACAGTAGTCCATGTATTGATATTCGAGAAACATTCGAATTGTTTACATTTTCGGGAGAATAATATATCGATCTTTCCGATTTGTTATAATGATAGACATACGTAGTTTTATTATTTTCTTTTTGCGATCTTTCCGACTTGTGTAATTCGAGAAATATTCGATGTATCCGACTTACTTAATATTTAAAACTAATGCTATTTTCCGCGGTAGACGTTATCTTTTAATCTGGTATATTTACCAGACTTTTCGAGATAAAAGTGTCAGGCTACACGAAGTACGGGATAAGGTTAAAGTGTGGGAGTCGCCACCTGCGCATGCGTCAAATGGCCATAGCGTGTCATTGTTTACAAACAAGCGTCTACCCATGAGCCTTTGCATTTTTAGCGCGTGTTGTTATCGTCGCTTGGGACTCAATTCCCGCGCGTGCGTAGGTGACAACCCTTCCGCTTTGAAGCTAATTTTATATGTTTGAGTGTCGGTCGGAAACGATGGTAATCAAGGGCTAAGGAACAATAAATAAGAATATAAAAAATTGTCAGTCATTTTAACTATGATTACTCAGTACGGTAACTAGGAAGATATACTTGTTATTTATACGGATATAAAACAATACCAAAGCAAATTCAGAAAGTGTAGATTGCCGAATCGTCAGTTAACTTTTTTCCGGAAACGACATCTCTATGTGTGTTCGCGTTGATTGTCATGTTGAAATGTTATGTCACGAAATAACAATGAATATGATGTTTTGGGCGCATAGCACACATACCTCGTTAGCCCGTACTAAGGGTCTGGACCGGGTCTTAACATTGGGCCACATTTAATCAGCATTTCGCGCATTTAGCATTTCCGTGCTAAGCGTTCACGCACTCTTTTTAGCACGGGTTAAGGTATTTGACTGAAGGAGCTGTGCGTGAACGCTACAATTTTAAAATATCAGAAATGATGTAATTGACAACAGTACATATGGTGTTGAGAATCATGTGCTGCACAATAGCAACATTTTCCCTAACAGATGATACAACCGATGATGAACTTGACTTCAATGCAAGTGACCATCATCTTCTAACTTTTTGCCAGTCAGTTGACCCACTTTCAGAAAGTTGTAATGAAGGCGTTGACCTGTATATTAGAGCTTGTAATTTATTGTTCGACTTGCAGCAATCTGCTTCATAAAAATAAGCAATACAATATAATAATGCAAGTTATAAACCTTTATTTTATATAAACATTTTGTAATTAAACACAATTGTGTAAAATACGGTATTAAAAATAAATGAAACTATGACATGTTTCTATGGTTTACAATCAGAATGCAGGAACATTAGACTTGCATACAGTCTCTTGTTTTTTTATCTGGTGTTTAAATAAAATAAAATAAACCAAGCTTTCGCCATTTACACACTCCCATGATATTTCATTTTATTGAAAAAACACCAAAAGATAAACAAGAGACTGTATGTTTCTCAAAACATTTATCACCTCAATTATTATACAATTGCTGATCTGTTTTTACATCACCTTATCAATCAATAACTATTTTTTATGATTGCGCAACTGATCCACAGTTGAGTAATTGTATTCTTGGGGGGGGGGGGAGTGATGTCACAAAACGTTCTACGTTGCTAAGACGTGCACCCCTTTACCATTTATTTCTAAGGGCTCTGCACAAGCTGCTGAAGCTAAAGTCAAAGTAGCAGCACAAATGCAACTTTTAAATACTCTTGAGCAACCAGATTTATATATGTTGTACATGTAGGGGTAATCTTGTTACCCTGTTCAGGGGAGTCTCAACAACCATCCCAACATACAATTTTCCACCATGATGGTAGCCATGCGATAAAAATGCCTGGATGTTCTCCTCAGGAATAACCCTGTATTGTCTAATATCATGCAGATCACATAATTGTATAATAAGTATATTTCAACTCTAGAATAAACTTGTCTGTGGATAATCTCAGAATATGTTAAAACTAAAGTTACAAAATCACCCAATGAAATCATAGAATTACACTAGTTGAAAATGGTGGTTGGCCAACGCTGCCTTATTCAATATAACACATAATTAGTCAGTAGCAACAACATTAGCTGCAAACAGTCAGATAAGATAATACACTTGTGATGTGAATAAAATTATATTTTTGACCAATGCCCTTGACCAATGGTTAAGATACCGTATAGTGCACAATATACCATATATTTGAAAGATAGGCACTCAATTTTATTATCCTTGCTACACCTATGAGTATAGTACTTATGTGCAAACTCTCAACTGAATCAGGCAATATATTAAGTGAGACATGAACAAAAACAAAATGGCCACCAGTCAGTCATTTTTGTTTGATGCACCCAATATACATGACTGCGATATGTCTTATTAATCTCCTACAAAATGCTAGTCAATTTAATAAATAAGAGTTTAGTACTGAACCTTCGTTGTTATTCTGGATTCACTTTCAAAAAACTTCCCATATGCTTTTGATACCCAGCAAGAGTAAAATACTGGTGTATTGGACATGGAATTGCCATTACGGTAATGCATTAATGTATGTATCTCGTCAATGCCAAAATCATTTGCTGATTTCACAAGGGAATATGCTTCATCAATAAAGAGCACTCCCCTAGCAGCACTATCTATTTTCTTTTTCAGATTTTTTTTGGATTCCCCAACATATTTTGCAATAATATTAGACTTAGATTTCGACAAGCCTGTTTTTCTTGATGAGCCGAACATCAAATAAGCACCCTGCAAGAAACATAAAATAAATTACAATATAGTATATTATATCAGCATTTCAATTGCCCAAATAGGTCAATGTGATTGGTAAAGAGAGTATTTCTAATTAAACAAGCTGTGGTGAAATACATCGTATAGTATTTGATGTTTAGAAATAGACCCAAACATGAATAGCACACAGCAGGGGTAAAAATAAATTTTGTTGACATTGTCCATCAATGACATTTATCATCAAATAAATACTTGAGAGATATTGCTCTGGCAAAGCATTGATAAAAACAAAATGACCACTGGTTGGCCATTTTGAACATCATCAGTCAAAGAATGTCAGAGATATGCCTGTCATAAATTTTGAATCCGATCTGAAAAACGAAAAAGACGTGATCAAGGTCCCATATTCTCCAATGTATGTACCAAGTTTGAACAAAATTCATCTGTAAACAGCCAAGGTTTCAAAATGCCAGAAATGCTTGATTTCGATGATGGCCATTCGGCCATCTTGAATCAGATTGTGAAGCAAATTGATATGCATATGTATAATATTATGTATGATATATGTGTGAAGTTTGATTGTTATCATAGTTTGGCCTGTTGTGGACATGAAGTAAATTTACCTCCAACGACAATGCTTAGCGCCGAGTTATTGATCGAAATGTTCCTGTCGCCAGATCATGGACCTAATTACTAGTAATAGGCCAGATTACACGTTTTGGGTCTAAGTGACGTTACATGCATACAAACATGCATACTAGCTTCTAGCTACAATTCTGTAGCTCCAGCCCCTAGGAAGGGGGGGGGGGACAATACCTGCCTAATGGGTCTTATTTTTTGGATTTTAGGTATAAGTATCGGTCTTATTTCTGGTCAACTGTTTACATGTGCTTCTATTGGAGATGCTCTTCTAATAGAGCAACTATGGTAACTGTTTTATTTGGAATAAACAGTGATGACAGAAATGGTATTTTGTTATAAATATGAGTATAGATTTTACCACTATCCAGATATAAAAATGGAGCTTCAGATTTTGCTCGTGTATTTTTTGGCGTTTTGTGTTGCATAGGTAGTCTAATTCGTTCGTCTATTGGTTATCGCAAAGGAAAACGCCAGACACCAGTAAAATCCAGAGCTACAGAACTGCAGCTAACTAGCTTCAAACAGTCGTATTTATTCAAGAAGAGGATGGCGTATGCAGATGTACAATATTGTTTCTTACCCAAGATCTGTACCATACCAAAATGACGCACGCTCGCGTTGCGACGGCCATTGCAAACTTGCCTGCACGGAAAGTGGTAAAACAATAAACTACGGCCGAGGCAGCGGTGGCTATCCTAATCCACAAAAGTGGATAAATCACTACTGTTACAAGTAAGGCCCAAAGTTCTAGCCGATTCACCATCAAGTAACACTTGCAACTGCGCATGTAATTAGAACATGCGATATGTAAGATGCGCACGCACGTTTTTTTTTTCAAGGTGTTCTTTTTTTCTTTTTTTAATAAACACGAGATGCGCGCGCATATTTTCTAAAGCTAACCGTATCTTTTATTTCTTGTGTTATTGGTTCCATTGTTTCATTTTATTTTTATCTCGTTATTGTTTTAATATATTTTTTTAATTTTTTTCTAAATTATATATGTTTTTATTTTTTGTTATTATTTTTAATTTTTTTTAAATTATTTAATTTTGTTTTTTTGATTAATATAAAGTTTTTATATTTTTAATTTGTTTTTTTTTTGTTTAGTTTCGTTTTATTTATCTGTTTTCCCATTTGTATTTTTTTTCAGATTTATTTTTCGTTGTTCCTGCCTTTTTTTATTTTTTTTTATTTTTTCGCATTTCCAATTCTCAGATTCTTTAAATGTAAATTTTTATATTTTAGTTTTTTAATTGTTATTTCTAGATATATATATATTATTTTGATTTGGGGAAAAAGGCTATGAAATTCTGTTTTTTATTATTCTGTATGATAGAATATTTTTGCAACACTTGACGCGCCGTAGGTATTACTGCATTATATTTTTTTCAGGGTGAAGAGACATGATTTATTTATTTCAAAAGTGATCATGAAGCATGAGCAGTGTGTGTGTGTGTATTCAAAAGAATATAAAATATCACACATTGTGCTATCAGTATCAGAAGGACTGCTGCTTTGAAAGATACAGATTGTGATGCAATCAGAAATAAATATGGAAATGCCAGAGAGTAAGGACAATGATATTAAAATTACATTTGAGGAGCAGATAGTTCACAAACCTGACAGTATACTTTGTAGAGATATAGAGAAAATGAAACTTTCAATAGAGCATCCAAATACCCAAGTACTTAACCTCGAATATTCAAGTTCATTTGTTTCTAACACTTTTCAATAAGGATGCATATTGGTCAACATGAACATGGAAGCAGACGTCTAATCAATACTCTCAATGCATATGGGATATGTGAACTCAGTTATGATGAACTTAGGGCTTTCGAAACAGTTACTGCAAATTATCTAATCTCTCAAGCACAAGATGAGTATGCATTCCACCAGGTATCATTCCTAAGGTAGAAGGGTGTGGCTTATACAAGAAGGTAATGACAACGTTGATGTCAGTGTTGATGGTAAGGATACGTATCACTTCATGGCAAGAGTGTTTCACGAAAACCAGCAGCCATATATGACAAGATTTACAACGTTTAATACATATACATCTTGTCTCTAATGACCATTAATTTTACGGAAATTCGCCATATGAAAAGGCTAAATTGTAAACTGACCCCACATAATGGCCAATGCATTACATGTTGTGACTGAACAGATGGACATGTTCAAACCATTCCATATTGTTGAAAATATGTGCCTTACTACACTAGATATACAGAAATTGTTGACAAGGTTAACACTATGCAGATGTTTCCGTTATACCTTCCTGACTGGCTTTAATACATGAACAAGTTCAACCAACAAACATTCCATTACTGTGGCAAGATATGAAACATCTGTTGAGGCTCCGTTATCAGATGCTACTACAGTATATACAACATTGGAGAAAGGAAAGTCAATAGCTGCAAAGTGTGGGCAGGATTTCCAATTTGATGGTGAAGATGAGAAGGACAGATAAATTCAAAACATTGTTCTGCGATTGTATTGGGAAACTGAGTATCCGGAGGAGAATGCCCCTAAACATCAAAATATAGTTATCCAAGTAACAAGTCATGTTTTAGTGCAACATGCACTACAAGCAAATATATTAAATTGATCCAAGACTAGACATCAATCTAATTTGATGCAGACATACACATGCCCTTACAGGTAACAGGTTGTGTAGTGCAATCAAGAGACACAGATGTATGATGGTACATTACAATCCACAGATCAATTAGTTAGATAGCATTACATGAATTCATCATATTGTAGAGAAGATTTCTTAAAGTATTCATGAGAAAAAATGCCTAAAATTGTATGCATTTTGGCAGAAGGTCCACGATCACGTGACCGGTGAGAGTTTAGTGAAAAGATGCAACATAACACATTTCGAAATAATAATACAAATGTGGCCACCAGTATTTCCTGTTTAGAAGAAATCCAAGATGGCGGCCAAACCACCATGTCATACAAATATGCTAAAATACGGATAATGAATTATGTCTTTGTATATATCAAAAAATAATTGTTTAAGTAGTGTGTGCGACGACACGGAGTTCAGAAAATGTTGTCCGGCGTATGATATATTTTGCGTGCAAAAGTAGAATTGTTTGGAAATAATCTCTGTAAGCATTCGCCAAATTTCTATATGTTACCCTTCGTTCCAAAAATAATACTCCAGGGCTAGCGATAGAGCAGACTAAGGGTAGACAAACTAATCTATATGGTCCGAAATGGTAGCCCAGGACACACACATGCAAGAGACTCAAAAGCAGGGAAATAATCAAAGTATGCATAAACAATGTATTAACGTTCAACAGTGATGCAACAATATTCCTTTTCAATAAAAGATATTACCTCAATACAGTAATAAAATAAAAGAGTTTACATCAGCAATACAAGAGTTCACTCAGGTGTACGTTGAACTGCCCGACGGATGTATGATGTCTGGTTAGTCACACAGAGACGTTGAATACAAAGTATGTAGTATGTTAAGGCGTTGTAGATACCACGAATCCTAGCAGAAAACGGGCATAGCTTCCGCTGCACAGGTGTACTTCTTGAAGTTGAGGGCACTGTCTTCCATCACGAAGACGTAAAATAAACAAATGTAGCATGAACAATTGACCAATATTCCCCATCCTGTCGCCATACGATAAAATAAAGTCTTAATAAAAGTTATTCAAAAAGAAAAAAAATAATTATAAAATACCCTACAATAAACATATATTCTCTAATTTAAACTTTCCGAACCTTGAGTATTGTCCGACGCCCGTATATTACCGAAATGAGAAAAACCTGACAAGCCATGAAGTAATGTCTACAGCGTATAAATCGCCATCTTGAAAAAAATAAGATACCGCGATAATCGTTTTACGTGAGATCGCGGACCGGATATCACCCATATTGAATCATTAGAGTATTTGCGTAAGGTATGTAATGTGTTTTTCCTCCATCATCTTGATTTTGTGTGAAAATGCTGAGTTATTAACAAGTCTATGCATTTCTGCATTGTATGGTTATACAGTGAAAGCGCTCGTATGACACCAGTACTGGAGGTTAATTTATTGGAAATAGTATTGTGTGACGGACTGCGCCCTTGAACGCAGCGAGGTTTCTGAAATCAGAAAGTGTCATGGAGGTGTTAACATGTGTGTGTTTATACATTCGTATCCAGGTAACTGGGATCATCCGGTTCAGGTATCATCGCGTAGTTACCTGAATAACATTTAATATATTGACAGATAAAGCATGTTATATCCCTATATTTGAGGTTAACTATGGAAAATTGACATGCAGATGATTTAACTAAATCTAATCAATATAATAATTTAAATGATTTTGCTTAATTTAGTTTGTATTCACAATATCATAATACAAAAATTATAATAATAATATTATTGTATTTTTACTTAATCAATTTACAAAGAAATAAACACATATATAGAAGCTTGAAGCTAGCATTTTTTTATTGGGGGTGGGGTGGGGTTCCAGTCAAATACATAATGTAAATCCAGTTCTACTATTTATTACTATATAGCCAGGACTTGAGCACCATTAAATACTGTTTAATACATGCATTTTTCACTAGTCTCCATCTCCAAATAAATGTATTTGTGTTTAATAATGTTAATGAGTATGTTGTATATTGCTACTCATTATCATATATTCCACTTCACTGGGGGATATTACAAATAATACAAAGACAGTAGACTAGTATTGAGAGATGTTCTTGTTTAATTCTTTTCTAACAAGTTTACGAATAAAGTTTAAACAATACAACGTAAATAAAAAAAACTTTCACACATTAATCTGAAGAAACGAAATTACATTCAGTGAAAGATGATACCTCTTCTTGTGTGTCAGTTGTCTCAAGACTCTCCACGTCTGACATGCCAGACGACAGATCCGATGCCGTCATTCTTCCATGCTGAATTAATACATATTCTTTAAAAATCAAATAATTGTATGGAATAATATATTTATCACCTCTAGTTGAAATGAAATTAATTAACTGATAACATAAGTCGAAAATCATGAAATGATGAGTGTCCCAGCGATTATACTCTCAAAGCAGTCCATCACTCCATCTGCCATACTTGTGTACATTAACTGTTCAACCATGAACTTTAACTTTTCGTCTATATCAACATGATGACCAATAACAAATTTGTTGTTGAGAAGCACTTCCCAGCATTGAATCCTGTAACTTCTGCTGTGCCTTAACTGTTGGTTCTGGTTAAATAGTTTTACCAAATTCATTGTCTGTAAAAACATCAATGGCATTATTTGACTAGTATTTCTCTATCATGTTATTTGTTTTAGATATTATAGACATTAACATTTAAGAAATATTATATAGAGTGTTTAACCAGTACAAACATTGTGACAAATAGTACTGGTAGGTATATTTCTTATATCTATTGTGTGTGTGTGCGCGCACGTGTGTGGGTATAATTACGTATGTATATATGTTTTTGTATGCACAGCTAGACTTATTTCTTTGCAATTGTTCTATAAATGATTTGGTATAAAGAAGATTCTTTGAATTATATTTGGGTTGACACCCCTGTCATTCGTTACCCAACAGTTACTGGTGGTACAATGGCATACTTTATGAATATTGTTGAGGCCGATGAAAATGTAGGTACTAGTGATAGTGTCATTATCAATGGTTGTGTTATAAACCACTATAAAGGAAATGGTGTGAAGGGAGCAGCTAGCTTGGTTGCAATAGGTTGACAAAAGTGTAAAAAAACCAGAATATAAAACATACTACAAGTCACTAGAGACTGGTTGTCCAGTACAAAAAAACTTAACAAAAGCAGCAAGCGGTCTGGTGGCGCAATAAAACTTATTACATTTCTTGAAGAAAATTATAAATTTCCTGAAGTAGCCCACAAACCTGGGGGGAAATGTGTACGTCCTGTGCCAGAGTCAGCGTCAATGGTTGCGGCATGCCGCGAGGTCACTACTTCATTGGCCTCTGACATTAGTGGTCCGAAGGATGAAATTATTAAAAAAGAACAGGCAAAGGAAGACAAAGAAGTTAAGGTACAAAGCCTTACAAGCCATTCTTACAAAAGCCAGTGTCCCAGGTTCATTACCTTGATGGTATTCTCGCGGGATTTCAGGTAGATTGCTTTCAAATTGTATCTTCTCTGCTTCCACAAATGCACTAAGTGATATTTCGGCCATATGCACAAGACTATGTATATGTAGCCCACAGAAAAAAAATGGATGATCAATGCTGTTTCATTCATCATCGGTCAAATTCTTGTAATCTTCTCTAACAGTTAAGGTTATTGAACTTGCATTCAGTTGCTTCTTTGTCACTCATAGTATTTACAATATGGCAAAGGATCTTTCTTGCTACATCTGAATTAGTCTTTATTGCTCGGGACTTTATTTCATCAAGTATTAACAAGAAAGTATCTAGGGTGTCTTGCGCCGACTTTGTTGGCATCCCAAACAATAATAGGTTCCTCTTTGTCAGGGGTGGCAAATGCCCCATACATATCTCTATATTTTGAAGTTTCATCTGTGTGCAATGTTGTGTCTTCTTTCTGTGTTAGTTCTTCACTGATCTGTTTCTAGGAAATCCATCGTCTTTGAATGTTAATGTTATTTACTGTTGAAGTGACCTTACCGACATGTTGACTGGCCACATGATGCTTCAGTAAAGTATAAACACACAGCTGAAGATAAGCCGAGTATTTACCCTCAGTCTCATTATATACCTCAACCACTTCTTCTGTCAGGGTTTGTACTGTGTCTTTCAAAACAGTGATTTACTTTTCCAATGCTGACACTTTTGCCCTCAACTGTATAATTTCTCTACTGACTTCGTCATCATGATGTTCATCCTCTAATTTGAAAGTTTTGTTCCTCCAGTAGTTTTCACGTTCTCTTTCACATTAATTTGTTTTCTTTTATTTCGTAAATCAAAATTTAATTTCGAAGTTTCATTTGTAGCCTTCTCAAGGTCATCAACCAGCCTTTGTAAGAATGGCTTGTAAGGCTTTCACACGTGGTGCTGATGAGAAATCTGGATGTCATCGAGCATTCACCTCTTACCTTCGCTTTCGAGAGTTTTTGTCAAAACATCAGTTTATATCTGTTCCTCTGGTGCCTTTCCGTGGTAACAGGTTCAATATTCTGTTTGAAAATGCTGGCCATGATTATTTTCCAAAGGACCAGATTGTTGAATTTGTTGAGACCCAGAAGAGAAACAAATTGACATAGAGTGTACTACAGCATGCGAAACAGCAATTCTATGTTGCTGGAACAAGAGCCCTTGGTTTGGTATCGAAGTTGATAACCACTCCTCTTTGGAAGCTACTAGAAGACCAGTCAATTCACATAACCGATATGAACATATACTATTTCAGGGATTCAGCCCTCAATATAGATAACTTCATAACAGGCAAGATGGTACCTTTTGAAGACGTGAAAATTAACAAGGATTCTATCTATGATTCCATAATAACACCCAGTGCAACATATGATGCTCATACCAGAGTTATTTTTTGGCGTTGTTACCAGCTTTAGCCAAACTAATACAGAGTGAATTTAAATATCAGCTGCCAGGTGGTAAGTATGAACAGGTCAATGAAGAAATGAAAGAAAGGATGTGGAGTGTAGAAAAACATAATAAGTATGTGGAGAGGCTTTTTGGATACATGGACCAACTGTTACGTTTCAAGCAGAATATTAGCCACTGAAGCATACACTATGTTCGTGATGAATAGAACTGAAGAATGCCTGGCCGAAAAAGATGAAGCCACTACTGAAAATCTGGTAGCAGAAGCAAGGAAAGGTGTCAGAGATATAAGGAAGGAGTTTTGTGATAGAAAAAATGTGATAGAAAGGAAGCTGCAGCTTAATCAAGATCAACTAAAGAAGGATGAAGAAAGGAAACGGGAACTAGCAAACCTTGAAAAATAAACAAATGACATGATCCATTACGGTTTATGGCAGACCGTGGAACACGTAAATGTAATGCTAGCAACCCTTAAGACCAATGCTGAGAACGTGGAGGAACTGAAAGCCCAGGAAACTTCAGGAAACATGTACTAAAGCATCCAGTTTCTGAAAAAACAGTTTATAACTTCTCCAAAAAAACAGGGAGCGGGAAGGGTGAATCTCAGTTGGGAAGAACTTAGTGTGAATGTCAAGTCGTTAATAGGCCTAGCTTGCTCTTTACAAAACATTCAAACATCTGAGACTGGTTATCTAGTTGGGAAAAAATAAAACGTAGGTTTGAAGAGAATGGAACACTTGTTACGTACAAGGAAACAGTACTCTCACAAGTATTTGCTTTTATATTATTGGCACTATGATGACAGTGTGACTATCTCACTTCCCAGTACCGGCTAAAAGGGACTATAAATGGGAGGAGAACAAATAATAATCCTAGGGCTGACAGGTCTACCGTCGCAGATGACTTCGGTACCATGCAAGGCATACAACACAGTGAAGACAGGTGGCATGTATCAATCAATCGGTTTAATAACAAACGACAGATTAGTCAAAATACACTTCACTTGAATTATAACACTAGAGGGCGCGCTCAAAGGGTCACGCACTTGACTTGAGTTACTTAGACGACCGTCACATACAAAGCATTTGTTGGGATATGTCCCCAATGAAGGTATTTACTACTATCGCAAAATGTATATGCAACCTTACTACAAATGGTACGCCAAACAATGCGAATTAATCTTCAAATATATGGCCTGTCACCATGGCAACACAGTCGGGACACAAATCAAAGCAACTTCCTCCACTTTAAAAAATATACTGGAGGTATACTCCCATTGATATTTCCCTTAACTAGTAATAATAAGTACAAGTAACCTGTAGAATGCTGTGTGGGTAATATTTTTAGATATATTTTTGTTTCATTTGCAGCAAATAGTTACCAAACAATGAGAAATCTATAGGATTGAATATACCTCTCAGCTGGCTTCACATGCATAGTTCAAGCCTGCCTAACCAGTGCTTATGCAAGGATTTAATTACAGCACCTAGACGGTCTGTGGTTACAGCTTCACGTTCAGTGTAATCGCAAGAAATTGATCTTACAATAGACAATCATGAAAGACTGGCAGTCCCATGCCATTAACAGCAAGTGAAATTCCCGGGATTGAAACATGTATTTTGAAGTCACTGATGTAGGAAATGAATAACTTCAAGTTGGTATAAAGACGAGGTAGTTTATTTAATCAGTGTTGAACTAGAGGCTGAAATTATAATTAAGTTCGTTGTCATATATTAATTTGTTTATTTCAATTTCTTCTGAAGTCAAATAGAATACACTGGTATTAACCGTGAGTGAAAGGATGTTTTGGGGGTGTAGTTTACATTGTGTATGGAGTGGTAAGGTCTGTTGTCATATAATTTGTTCATTTCCAACTCTTATGAAGTCACATAGAATTTCACGTCGCTGAAACGTTTTCAAGCATTACTTGTGAATCCAATTTTCACTGTGCTGTGTCTCAATAGAGTATGAGGGAAATGGCATTTTCACTGGAATTTATTTCAGTGGAAAAATGTTTTCAGTGAAAATGAAGTATACCACATTATTACATATGTACTGCAGTTTATTTTGATTCGTTTCTGAAATCAAAATCGGTATTTCCATACCCCATATGCAAAGTAGTCCTTTCAAGAGTAGCGTTTTCGAAACATAGCAGAAATAAACAATATTTAGAAGTACGATATTTTACCATTGGGGTACATGAATATACTTGCCGAGTGAAATGAAATTTGAACAACAGTAATGACTAAAACTAATTTGCATATCACCCATGCAATAATGTTTTCGGTATTTTCACGGTCAATATGCAAATAAACATGGTATTGGTGATCCGCACCACGAGGATTGTCCTTAAAATCATTTGTGTGTGTGATTTCCAG